TTTCTATATATAAAAGGTTTGAAGTGATGACATTTGTTTCTGTAGCTCTTGTGTTAAATCAAAAATGTTCGGTGTGTTTTAAATAAAAATGTGTGTTTATTTTTTCTCTTTATTCCATTAAATTGATTATTTTGAGCCGTCCAGATGAATTTTGTTGGTGTGTGTGCGCAGAGTTCAGGGAAGCTGGAGATGGAAAGAGGAATGGTGAAACCCATGATCCGAGGGGAGCAGCAGGACAGCAGGTCATTCTGCAACTTCTGTCCTTCACCTCCTCTCCAACATGTCTGACCTTGTCCTCGTCTCGTCTGCCGGTTCTGATTTCTTTTTGTTTCCTCCTCAGGTCTCAGGACGTTTCAGCGGACCGGACGGAGCTCACTCTTCCAGCCAGCATCGAGTTCAGAGACAACTGTGAGTGTTTCTGAGTCACTAACTGGAAACTATCGAACTTCTAGCTGCTGACGGTTTGGGCCGACTGAACTGAACTGCTCGTCCTCTCCTGTAGTGAAAGGCTCGGTCGGTTCTGTCAAAGGGTTCACGTCTTTTCAAGGCCCTGTCTCATCAATCTGACAGATTTTAATGAAACACTCAGGAAATGATCCACAACAGATTTAACTTTTGGAATCAACCCGATTCAAGATGGCCGCCACAGCTAACCATCTAAGCGAACACAAAAGTAGCTACAACGCAGTCATTTGTAGATACTGAAGTCAAATTTGGTGTAGTACTTGAGTACTTGTTGAGTCATCCCCAGCGCGTACTCCGAGTGTCGAGTTCACTTGAGAGCCGCAATTTAAACGCTAGCCTCAAGGCAGCGGGCGATATGCATTTCTTCAAGAAGTTTTAATTTATTTAACACAGTGCAGCGGGCGATATGCATTTCTTCAGGGAATGTTGTGTTTGGGTCATTTTTGGAAATCTGTCAATCGGTGTCAAACTTCAAAGGAATATTTCTGTAGAAAAGTCTGAAAAATGTAAAACTTTAAAATACGTTTCCTTCTGTTCACGTAAGAGCAGGTTTTATTTTTGATTTGACGTTTGATTTGAAAGAAGTTTATTTTTTCCCCCTGAAGACGTGTCTGGTTTATGTTTTTAACGTTAAACACTTTGTTGGTTTCGTTGTTAAATCGATGGGAGTTGCGTTGTGACGAGGACACGCGTGTCGGCTCTGACACTTGACGGTTCCCTCAGACGCCGTCGCTCTTTCTGCGCTGCCTTCGTTTTTGTTTACTGACCCTCCTGGGGCCTTTGTGTGCTCAAAGGTTTCTGTATATTTGGCATAGTGTGAGCTCATCTGTTTTTCCAGTCAGAACGGTTTCAGCCGGCCACAGCGGCAGAGTCACATACCCACAATGCACTGGGCTAAATTACATGCTTTAAGTTTGTTAGCAGGGTACAGCTCGTCGTGACGCTGCTCTGATCTCCAGGTTTTACACGAGGAATGTTGGAGTTGTGGCGTTAAGAAGCAGCTGTTACTGAATCCCACGTGGTGCTCCCAGCCAAGTCCTGCTCCACCGTCACTTTAGTTCCAAACTGCTTGTTGAAGCTCAAAGATCGGGTCCGGTCACCGAGAAACCTCTTTTTAGGGCTTTTGTGCGCATCTGTAATTTGTTCAAGTGAGATCGAGGTTTTCTGTCGTGCGTTTTATGCACAAAGTGTGAACACGGTGTGCTTAAACTCTGACAAAACAACGATAAAGATAAATGATAAAGTTTTAAATAAAACCAGCAACAAGTTCAACCAACGCACAATAAAACAAACACGCAGGACAAATGAATTAAATACATAAATCTATAGAACAAGAAACAGAATGAGTAGATGAATAAAAGCACAATGTTACTCAAACAGTTTGAGTGCAGTGAAAATGTTTTAGTACAAAATACTTCTTTAGCTGACCTGCTTTTTGTGTCTCAGAATAAAAAAGGAGACAAATCTGGAATATTGATCCATTTATTACCGTTAAAATCAATAAAGTGGTGTTGGCAGGAGGTTATGCTTGGAAAGTCAAACGCACGTGTTGAATGCGTAGTGCAGCCCGGCGCCACGGACCTGTGAACACGAGCGGAACGAACTTTAGTTTTTACTGCTGGAAGTTTGGCGTGAAGCAATACAGCGTTCCTTGAAGGAATGCATATCGCCCGCTAGGGCCGGGCCATATCACGTCATTCACGATAACGCCGGTAAAAAAAGCTTGCCCGGGCAAAAATTAATGATATCATGATATGCTAATTTCATGACGTAATACGTCAGGGCGCCCCGCCCCATTAACGACTACAACGAATTGCGCACCCCCTTTCCACCTATCGGTACTCGCGTGACGCTAATTAGCTGCGTGCAATGCTAGCTAGCCTAAAAGCTAAAAACGAAGAACGCGCGGCTCGGCTGTCTCTTGAGATCCACAGTCCATGGGCCAAGAACAGAGTCAGGTGATCAGAGACGGAGCATCAGAGAAATGGATCGTTCCTGCAGGAACAGCTGATCACCTTGTTACAAGTTCTGGAAGTTACAGCGCGTTTAAAGGAAACATATATGTCTTTTTAACAAAAAAACGAAGTCCAGATGACATGATTCAACCTTTTTTGTTGTTATATACCTGGATGACTGAGAAAACAAACTTTGTGTTTTTGAAACCATTAGTGAAAAGGCCAGACTTCAGGGGTATCTGAGGCAGGCTTGAAACACAAGAGTCAGGGTGGCTTCTGGGTAATACCAGATGGCTAGGCCTCAGACTGACGAAGCCTCTTGGATGAGGGGCGAAACGTTTCTTTTTAACAAAAAAACGAAGTCCAGATGACATCATTCAACCATTTTTGTTGTTTATATATGTTGTTGTTTGTTACATTTATGCTCAACGGATCTGAAGCTTCATTTTATTTAGTTATTTTGGGAAACTTCACCTGCACTTTAGTTTTTGTGGTGGATTTATTGATTTATCCATCCATCCATTATCTTTACCTGTTTGTTCCATTTTGGGTCACGGGGGTCGCTGGTGCCCATGTCCAGCAATCGCTGTGCGAGGGGCGGGGTACACCCTGGACGGGTCGCAAGTCCATCACAGGGACACATGGAGACAAACGAGACAAACAACCATTCACTCTCTCACTCACACCTAGGGACAATTTAGAGTTACCAATCAGTCTAACATGCATGTTTTTGGTCTGTGGGAGGAAACCGGAGTACCCGGAGAAAACCCACGCATGCACGGAGAGAACATGCAAACTCCTCCCAGAAAGGCCCCTGGACCGGGGTTTGAACCAGGGACCTGCTCGCTGAGAGGCAGCAGCTCTACCAGTTGCGCCACCGTGCTGCCTGCAAAGCAACATGTTAAGTTAATTTTGTCAAATAACTATGATTTCTTTTAATTTTTTTTTTATATCACGAAATGTATTGTTATCGTCAGAATGCTCTGAAATATCACGATATTGTATTTGAGCCATATCGCCCACTCCTATCGCCCGCCGCTTACCCTGAGTTGTAGTCTGAGATCAGTTTATGGTGAGAAATGACAAATTTGTAGCTGTTCTGGTCAAACCTCGTAAATGACTTTGTGCACCACCTCAGTGTTTCTCCTACCGTTATACAAGGAGGGTGCCCTGCCCCGCCCCCCCCAGCAACTGACGTAGCGCTAAGCTAGCGGAGGTCGTGCTCCGCTTCCCTCACGCTGATCCAAGCCGTTTACTTCAACACCACCCCTGCCAAAAATCACAGAAGAGATGAGCGTCCTGCATGTTACCTGGAGGAAACACTGCAAGCTCAGCATCTGTAGAACGGACTCTTGGACATTCAGTGATCATCTTCGGAGAGAGCTTCATTGAACTCTGCCCAGTGGCTTTTGAGATATTTTGCTAACAGACGGCTCGAATAGTTACTGACGACGTTTTAAAAACGGATCTCGTGCAACCTGTTGGTGCTCGAATTGTGTGTTGGGACTGGCTCTCAGCTGTTACCACTCCAAAACTGACCGAGCGTTGACGAGATTTGTGTCGGTCAGGGCGGCCATCTTGAATCTGGTTGGCTCATTCTGTCAATCGTCGTCCTTTCTGGGTGTTTCACTGAAACTAGTCGAGCGGTTCATGAGGTATTTTGCTAACAGACAGTCGAGCACACGCAAACAAAAACAGCTTTTACTTTTGCCTTGAGCGGCAGGTGACAACTAAAGATATTTTCTTGATGCTTTTGCATGAAGAAGTAACTTTTCTGAGTAAATATTTGTACTAGGAATCGTTCATCTTGTGTGTACTAATAACGTAATTTAAAAACGTGTGTGTCGTGACCAGCTGAAGACACCTTCCTGTCGGCCATCATCAACTACACCAACAGCTCCACGGTCCACTTCAAACTCTCGCCCACTTACGTCCTGTACATGGCCTGCCGCTACGTCCTGTCGCCCGCGTACCGGCCCGACATGTCTCCATCGGAGAGGACGCACAAAGTCATCGCCATCGTGAACAAGATGGTGAACATGATGGAAGGAGTCATCCAGGTGAGTGACGCCGCCGTTTTTTCTACATGAAGCAACGTTCGTTTTTGTTTTTTAACTTCATCTTGTTTTCTGCTCCTTTTAGTTTGTCCACGTAACTCGGGTGTTCTTTAATGTCCACGCATTAACTACTCTTACTAACTACATTTGTAGTTGTAAGGTGTGTGTTGCACGTGTTTGCCTCCTGCAGCTTCTCTCCACAGTCGCCTCCTATGCGCTTCTAGTTTTGTACGTTACAGTGTTAAGTTCAAGTCAAGTTTATTGTCATTCGCGTCACATGTGGTACATGAGGTGGAACGAAATTGTGTACTCGGGGTCCCAGTTACACCCAAAATAACAAGAAATTGAAGTATAAAAAGAAACGGTAAATAAGGATGTAAGCTAAACGAACGCCAAACAACGCGCTAAACACTAATAACGTAAAACAATACGGCGCATCAGCAGCAGCCTGAACACGAGTCTGTGGTGAGCAGATGGGTATGAATGAACACAGCAGCATGAGACGATCAGCAGCACGAGATCAGCAGCAAATCATGTGATTTGAGCAAACGCGAAGCGATTGTCACTCCCTGAAGCCATCAGGTCTTTCTCCACCACTGTCTGCGTTAGCTTTATAGTTTATTTGTTTACGTTTGTTTGGTTTAAGACAACCCATGTTAGTCCACGTGAACGTTTTGAGAGTTTCAAAGGAATTTGTTTTCCTTCTGAGAAATGTGAGAATCACGTGATTAAAAACAGCCTTAACGTTATGTTTTTGTTGTATTTGGGCGATTTAAATGATCAGGAATTAATAAAAACGTAAGCAGACAATAATGCCACATATTAAGATGTTTTACATCTTTAATGTTGCTCATTGTCCTTCGTGAGCATAACATGAAAAATAAAAGTGTACTGATTTCCAGTTTGGTGTGTGACTATACGTGTATGAAAGGTCCTTATCAAAATTGAGTTGTCAAGTCAAACTCCAAGATGGCCACCAACATGTGTATATATATATATATATATATATATATATATATATATATATATATAAATGTGTGTGTGTGTGTGTGTGTATAAATTGGCCACCCCTATCATTTGATTAAACTGTTTTCTAGTTTTTATATCGCTTTGCTCAAAAATTAGTGATGGCTGAAGTTTATTCAATGGTGGGCAAGGCCACCATTAGCCACCCCCCGGCTCCACCACTGCACCTGGTTGTAGATAAAATTACTCCCTTCGTTTGCCAGGATCCGTCACTCTGCGCCTCCTCGGACAAGAAAAAGAAACACCTCCCTCCATTCTTCTCCACAGTGTAACTTCTACACTCTTGAATATCTTTTACCAAAAACATTCAGGTTCACGTCATTCCCTGTTTAGGTCCAGCCCATAAAAACACCCAATCAATCAACCTTTATTTATACAGGTAAATCCCATTGAGCCTCGAGGACTCATTTACAAGAGAGACCTGATTTCAACAAAGAAAGATGACAACAATGGACAACAGCAACAACAATAAGCAGTTATAAAAACTCATACTACAGTTTTTTTTTTTTTTTTTTTAACAAATAGGATGGCTAAAAGGAAAAGGTAACAAAACAAAAAAACAGCTAGATTCCAAGGCAAATGTAGAAAACTAAAAACAGGAACATGTCTTCATTGGACCCTGCCAGGTGTCCAACAGATTCTTAAAGACACTTAGAGAGGTCAAGGTCGAGAGCTTCAAATCTTTTTGTAAGATATTCCAGGAAACAGGAGCGGAGTAGGAGAAGGCCCTTTTGCCTAGTTCAGTCCTCACTGAGGGAACACTGCAGGTAATAATGTCCTGAGAGCGCACTCCGTAGCTGCACTCACGCAGAGACATGTAGGAGGAAATGTATGAAGGCAACAGACCAAGAAGTGATTTAAAGATGAAAATGTACCAGTGAGAGAGTCTGCGTGAAGTTAATGATGTCCAGTTAACCAATGAATACAGAGTGCAGTGGTGGGTACGATAATCACAGCCAGTTATGAATCTTAGTGCACCATGATAGACAGCATCCAACATCTGCAGGGTTCTTGTAGGAGCGTTCATGTAAATAATGTCACCGTAATCAATTGAGGGAAGGAAAGTCACAGATACAAGGTGTTTCCTAGCATTCAGGGTTAGACAGGATCTGTTCCTGAAAAAGAAACCCAGTTTAACTTTCAGTTTCTTTACCAAGTTTTCCACATGGAGCTTAAAAGAGAGATGTGAGTCGACCAAGATACCCAAATATTTATAGGAATCAACAAACTCAATGGGGACACCATTTGAGGATGAAATCGGAGGAAGAACTGCTGGGACCAACTTCCTATTTGCAAAAAGCATCCCTTTGGTTTTTTCGGCATTTAGGACAAGTTTGAGGCGAAACAAATCAGTCTGGATGTAGTTAAATGCAGATTTCAAAAGCTGGAAAGCCTTAGCAACTGTTTTAGCTCGACAATAAACAACTGTGTCGTCAGCATAGAAATGTATGGATGCGTTAGGGATGTTTTTGCCTACATTATGTATGGAGTTTGTAAAGAGGGTGGGTCCTAAGACTGAGCCTTGTGGTACACCATTGTTGAATGTTAAATAACTGGAGGAAGTACCATTATGTTGAACACATTGCTTCCGGTCTGAAAGATACTCATACTCATCTCAAGAACTGCACGCGCTCTAATCCCTGAGCGATGGAGGACATCAGCGCTTGTTTCTTCTCCTTTGGCAATATAAACTCTGGAAGAAGCACTTTATTCCTCACATCGGTATTCCCTGCAGCAGTTCTTCAGCTATATTAAAGTTTTATTAGATGAAACCCAATAAGTATTAGGGTGAACACACCATTTTAAAATTCACAGATTAAAACTCTGGATGAACAGGTGTAAAGTCGGCAGCTGTGCACTAAAAAATAAGTAGATGTTCTTTTATTATCCCAGCCTGTGAAATTATTTAAATATAAATACTGATCCAAGGTAAAGAGGACTACAATTCAGAACCCTTGCATCTTCAGATTAAAGCAGCTGAACGTTGCCTCGGCGTTTATCAGAAGTTTCAGTTTCGGCCCATAAACTGTTCGGTGACTTTTTGAACCATGTGTGAGTCAGAGCGTCTGTTTCTGCGTGTACATACTGTGTCCATACTGTAGCTGTTGACGTGTTTTCTCTCTGTCCTGTAAATGTCTCCTCTTCCTCCTCCTCCTCCTCCTCCTCTTCCTTCCATCCAGGAGATTCCTGAAGGGGATCAGGTAGGATAGCACAACTGCACACCCTGATACGGCTGCTGAAGGCTCTTTCACCTCTCTCCCTCTCTCTCGCTGGGTTTGGCGATGAACATAAAATTAATGTTTATTTTTATACTTTAAGTGACTTTCACGTTAAATTTAGTTTCATCTGAACAGCGACACCAGTTTACTTTGAAAAATACTACTATACAGTTAATATTAACGTTGATTTTTACACTAAAAAAATGATCAGATTCTGAAAATATTTTTCTTTCAGTAGCAGGTTACTAAGAACATAAATAATTAAGAAATAAAAATAGAGCACAATTATTTATTATTGACTTTCGTTGTATTTATTTACTCATGGAACACAATTCATTGGGACAGATTGCAAACAGTATTTGAACATATTGACTGGAAGGAACGGGAGATATTTGGAGAGGTTTGTCGCTTAAAATAAACATCATGTGGAAAAATTACCAAATAGTAAGTTTTTCCTCACACGTTACTTTTAGCCCGTAACAAACTTAAATACTTTGTAAAATAGTTTGGCAGATTTTTCTTTATATTCTGTCTTCTGTAGAGTCTCGTATTGTTTTTATATAACGGACAAAACAAAGAGCATGAAGGACTTTGACAAGTTTCTGACAGGCCTGTGATGCTGGAGCAGCTTCACTGCACCTTAGCATTACCACATTTTTCAGATTATAAGGAGCATTAAGTGAAACGAGTTCATTTTCACAGATCTTTGAGCGCCATGCACCACATCAAATCAGTTCAAGGTCAGTAAGCACAACCAGAATTAACACACACGTTGCACTGGATTGTGAGGCTCGCCGTCGATGTTTGAGCAAATTAAAAGATTTTAAGTGTGCCTTGTTGTCCGAAAAATACGGTAGTTTTGAGTTTCTTGGACTGTACTGAAGCTAAGCTTTTTATTTTTTATGTAAATTCTGTCCTGTGTGGCCCAGAGTGCCGTCTTACAAGGCCCATCGATTTGCACATCATGCGAACACGATTTTGGATTTAGCAAATCCAAATAAATCACAAAGTGAATTTTACGCCTCCGTCTTGAGTCTTTGCGCTTTTGTCTTCATTTAAACGAGGCTACTTGCATGCATCAATAAAGATGAATAAATAAATACATATTTATGCAAATAACTGCCAGGACAAAATAAATAAATACATAAATCATCTGAATCCTGAAGCTGTGTGCAGGGTGCAACCTGGTCAAATATTCACTGCCTTCTGAGAGCTCGTGTCATCTGGATCTCTGAAGTTTAACGTAAGCTCACGGCATTCTTCCTGCCGTTCAGCTGCGCACAGGAAGAACATGATGCGTACACAAACGCAGCTACAGCCGCGATGCTTTACTTTAATGTTTTTGAGGCATTTGTAAAAACTGCAGCGTTCTTTGTTGGGTTTTATTACCGCTGGACAAATAAATCTGCTTGAGGAGTTTATTTTCTCAACTTATTTAGTGATTTAAGATGCAGTATTTGTTCAGAAGTGACAGGATGCTAAACAGGATCCTGTAATCAAACCTAAGGTATCCCTTTTTAAAGAGTTTAATTGTTAATTTAGTTTAAATAAAACTCCATAAATTACATAAACTAGATGCAAAGATGTATATATTTCCACTGTCAGGTTTTTGTTTTTACATGAAACGTCATATTGACAAGTCTTCAAAGTAAAATCACATCGCCCAACCTGCACTTTTCTCATTCTTCTTTCTTCTCTTTTGTTCACATCTTCTGTCTTTCTGTGCTTTTTTTTATTTATAATTTTTGACCAGCCCATCATTGTTGCTGCTGCTCCTTTTTTTCTCCATTCTAACAGAAACATAAAGCCGTAACAAAACGTCCCGTGCACAGCTGGAAAACTAAGCAACAACAGCAACATGAACCTGACTAATTCCATTTAGCTTCCTGGACCTGCCTGGCACTAAAACCAAACCCAAAACAGCAACTGCTCTTCATCGTTGCTCCATCTTTATTTCTGGCATCTGTTCTTGTGTGACGTCCTGCTCCTCCTCAGCAGTGAGGATGAGAGGCGGGTGGCCTCCCTCTGACCTCCTCTGCTTCATCTGTCCGTTTGGATTCTCCTTGAACATGTTTAACCATCTGTGTTTTTAAATGCCTTTAACGTGGTTTTGTTTTGGATGCACTTGGCTCCACCTCTCATTCTCTGGCTTTTCTGAATGAAGGGGTTCTGTTTTTGTTTGTTTTAATTTTTTTAAGGCGGGGATAGATGCGCAAAAGGAGGCGAGCTCTACGAGCGGCGGGGGTTTTAACCATTCGGCTCCTTGGACACTGAGCCACGTCATCCACAAACTTTGATTTGAACGACTGATAGATGTGAGGCGCTGTTGTTCACTCTGCAGTCAGTCGAGCTGGTCCTTGTACATGTGGAAGTTTTTATCCGCACCACACGATTTTACACCGTGTTCAACTGCGTCTTCAGTGTTTCATTGGGTGGTTTGGGAGCTCTTTTGCTTCAGTTTGTAGGAGAAATTCTGTTCAGTTTTAAAAGTTGAAGCAAGAGGATAACGCCAATGCTTTCCTTCAAAATGACAAACTCAACCTCAGCTCATCTAGCTTTTAGTGAGACGTCTTCATTGTCTCTTGTCGCTGAGCAAAGGTACCGTCCATCTGTCCATCTGTCTCGTGGGCATGATGACTTCTAAAATAAGTGAGGTACCAACTTCCATTTTGTGGTGTGGCTGCATCTAGTCATAAGAAAAGTCACCATTGAATATTGGTATGCCATGTCAAAATCCAAGATGGCCACCACCATGTACAGTATAACTGTGAACCGGCCACAGAAATCATTTGAGGAATCTGTTCTTTTTAGTTTTTATATTTCTTTAAATCGTACTTTCCTCAAATTATTAGGGTGGCCGAACTTTAATCTATGGTGGGCAAGGCCACCACTGGCCACCCCCTGGCTCCACCACTGCACCAGTTGGTGGATAAAACCGCTCCCTCCACTCGCCAGGATCTGTCAGTTTGCACTTCCTCTGACAAGTAAAAAAAAATCTGTTCTTCTCCACCGAGTAACTCCTATCCATTTAAATATCTTTCATCAAAAACATTTAGGTTACTTGCATTCACTGTTCCGTTCCAGTCCAGAAAAACTCACCTCAAAAACTACAAACATTCACTATTCAAACCCCTTTTAGTTTGTTTAAAAATATAAAATACAGAAGTCCCTCGTTTATCGCGAGGCGTTCGTACCCTGAAGCCCCGCAATAAGTGAAAAACCATAAAGTAGGAATAGTACAAGTAGTAAGTAGTAATTTATTTTAGTACATATATATAAAGACATTTTAAACCCTTCCCACACTCTTTCAATATTCTAAACAATGTTTCTAAACGCTCCAAAAGAGCATAGAATGATTTCAGCTCGCTGCAAGCGCTATTGGCCACGCCCACTTCCCCACTCTGCACGGAGGTCAGCTGGTCAGCTGCAGGAGGAAGCTTTTTCTGCGGCTGTGGGCTGCACAAAGGTGCAGCAGGTGCTAAATAATTTACAATAATTTATTTTGAATACAAATTGCATGCCGATCGTGCGGCTCATCCATCAGTCAGCCAATTGTGTGTCATGTCCAATCTTATTTTGAAAAACTGGGATGGAGCAGGACCGCGAAAAACGAACTACGAAGTATCGAGGGACTCCTGTAATGCATCATGTCCAGGTCAGAAAGTAGCCTCCACTTTATCCTTTGCAGACTAACAAACTGTACATCTTCCTCTAGATCATAATTTAGTGAACTGACTTCTGTGTGGCTCTTACGCAGCCGTAAAGTGTGGAAAGTATGGGATTTTATTATTTATTTTTATTTAGGTCTTGGATAAGAATAAAATAAAATGGGAGTATGAATAGTTGTTAAGGTTTGAAGACTGTTACATGTTGCAATGTTTAGAAAATACAAACTAATTTTACACAATTGGCCACTTTGACTTGCAGAGTGAACAAACTTGGGCCTTGTTTAATCAAAGCCGCTGATCGTAAAGAGTGGAGTGGGTCTGTGTCTGGAGCCGTGGGAGAGGGAAAAGGAGAGGTCACCTTCATGTGAACGTGTTGAACTGGATTTAAAACGAATGAAGACACTTTGTTTGGGTGTGTTCATTGATTCTGACGGCGTTGACCGCTCTTCTTCTCAGCACCAGCTTGGCTTCGAGGGAGGGGTGGATGAGGCATGAATCTATCCCTGAAGTAACAGCTGCTTCTTCTGGCTGCCACTCAAACACAACCCCCCCTCTGCCTCCCACCGTCTTCTTAACACCTCCAGCCTCTCAGCATCCTGCTGCTCTAACAGCTTCCTCGATATGTTTTTGTTTTGTGTCTGTGGTGCGGCTGTGACCGGTACGTTACAGAAGCAGAAGAACATCGCCGGAGCGCTGGCTTTCTGGATGGCCAACGCCTCGGAGCTGCTCAACTTCATCAAGCAGGACCGAGACCTGAGTCGCGTCACGCTGGACGCCCAGGACATCCTCGCCCACCTCGTCCAGATGGCCTTCAAGTCAGTCTTTAGTTCGGGTCTTGTTTTGGGTCCCATCTTTGTCCTGAAGTTGTTGACATGTATATAATGAGACAAAGCCACAGGAACAAATATTCTTTGTTGTTTTTAGTCTCTTAAAGTCAGAGGACTAATTAAAATCAGGTTGTGATGTTTTATGAGTAAGTCTTACTGTGTGGTGCAGGTACCTGGTCCACTGTCTACAAGCGGATCTGAAAAACTACATGCCGGCCTTCCTGGATGACCCAGAGGAGCACAATCCACAGAGACCCAAGATCGGTAAAGTGGAGAAACACCCAGACATGTGGTTTCAAAGACCTGGACTCTTGTTGCAATGAGTCCTGTACTCTGACACAGTTAACTTGAACTTTGCAGATCTTCAGCAGGTTTAAGTAAACTTCAGTGTTTACACACCCATTAAATTTATGGATTGGTGCCGTCAGTGACTCTGACCTTTATCACGTTTTCAGTCCGACACCTGAGATCAGGATCACTAATAAAAGTTAAATCAGTGGAACAAAATAAAGTTTAGAAAAAGCTAAGGAATTGTCCTTATCTAATTGTTAAAGTAGTATTTTACTGTACTGTGATTGTTTGAGAGTAGCTGGTGATTCAATTACTGTGAAAATAACAGAAAAAACTCCTGTTAGCAACAAAGCGACCAGTGAACCCAGTTTTTGAGCTGCTTTTTATTTTATTTTAATCGCTGCTTATTGTTTGATATCACATCTTGTACATCTGTACCCACCTTGGGATCCCCCCCTCTCCTGTTTATGATCTAATCTGTTGGAGTACACTTTAGAAATGGAGAGGCAGATTTGGACCAGTTTTGTAATTATTTATAATTTGTCAGTCTAACAAGGTTAAGTCACGTCCTCAATGACCAAAGAGGAATCCATCCAGAGGACCTGATTCAACCTTGTTAGATTTATCTACTGGGATTATTGAGCAACGTCGGGACATAATTTATCGGCGTGGTGTAATTGTTGTTTAGACTTCTGTCAGCGGAGAGCTCTCATGCAGGTGTTCGTTACCCACGTTAAGCAGATTAGATTAAGCCGCAGGGTCTGAATATGCAGTTAAAGAGAGCTCTCAGTAATTCAGATTCTGATTAATCATTGAAAGACATTTATTGAGAATTTAATCCATCCATTATCTTCCGCTTATTCCGAAGTCGGGTCACGGGGGCAGCAGCTTGAGCAGGGAGGTCCAGACATCTCTCCTCTTCCAGCTCTTCTGGGAGGACCTCAAGGTGTTCCCAGGCTATTTGAGAGACATAGTCTTCCCCGGGGTCTCCTCCCCATTGGACATTCCTGAAGCACCTCCCTAGGGAGGCGCCCAGGGAGCATCCTTACCAGATGACCGAACCACTGGCTCCTCTCGATGTGGAGGAGCAGCGGATAAATTCAATAGATTAAATGAATAATCCAATACTAAAAATCAGACTTTCCAGGAAAAAAAAGTCCATTTGACAATGAAGGAAATAAAATCTTATGAAAACCTTCAAGATAACGGTTGGTCTGTAATCTGCTCATTTACGTCCATCGGATGAATTTAAAGCCACGAGGTGGTTTTGTAAACCAACTGACATCCTGACTCATGTTCGTCCTTCCAGAGGACGTCCTGCACACGCTGACGGGCGCCATGTCATTACTGCGCCGCTGCAGAGTCAACGCCGCCCTCACCATCCAGCTCTTCTCGCAGCTCTTCCATTTTATCAACATGTGGCTGTTCAACAAGCTGGTGACGGACACGGAGTCGGGGCTCTGCTGCCACTACTGGGGGGCCATACTCCGACAGCAGCTCAGCCACATCGAGGCCTGGGCTGAAAAGCAGGGCCTGGAGCTCGCCGCCGACTGCCACCTCAGTCGTATCGTGCAGGTGAGATGATGGGTAACCATGGAAACGGGTTACATCTGTATCAGCCACGCTGTAAATGATGCTTTGTGTCCCCTCTAGGCCACCACCCTGCTGACCATGGACAAGTACTCCATGCAGGATGTACAGAACATCCACAACACCTGCTTCAAGTTGAACTCCCTGCAGCTCCACGCCCTCATGACCAACTATCACTGTGCCCCGGACGAGCCCTACATCCCACCTGTGAGAAAACCGCACGCAGGGTGAAAAGCCTCGTTTGCCTGAAGTCGCGAGTCCGGCTGTAATGTGCGAGTGTTTGTGCAGGAGCTGATCGACCACGTGGTGGCAGTGGCAGAGAACACCGCAGACGAGCTGGCAAGGAGCGACGGCAGAGAGGTGCAGCTGGAGGAGGACCCGGACCTCCAGCTGCCCTTCCTCCTCCCTGAGGACGGCTACTCCTGTGACGTGGTGCGAAACCTCCCCAACGGTCTGCAGGACTTCCTGGAGCCGCTGCTGCAGAGAGGTAAATCAGATCTTCTCATTACGTCAATTTATTTGTACTTTTTTTTTTTAATAGATTAAAATTTAACAAAAAACAAGTTTTGATTTCTATAATTTTTCTAATTATATTTTTCCCTGATTGAGACAACGCATGAAAAAATAAATTTCTTTTTTTTTTACGACATCTAAAACACATTGTGTACTTTCATTACGCCTGTGTGTGTTTGTGTTTCCTCCAATAGGTTTTTGTAGGTTGGTACCACATCCGCGCTCGCCGGGTACCTGGACCGTCCACTTTGAAGGAGCTGACAACGACAGCCACTTTACGGCTGCCGACAACACCGAAATGGTACGACACCAACACGCAAACTCCTGTTTCCACGCACGCTGCTGTCTTTAATGCAGTGGAGCATTCTGGGTAAACTTGATTACATGAGGTCTACTGCGTATCTGACGGATAAAACGGCAGAAAAAAGATGCCAAGTCCTGCAGCCTCCAGTAAACTAACTTGAGGATGTAGGTTCACCTATTCAGAGTATTCCTGTTCCCAAATCTACAGAAAATTAACCAGACCGCACGTAAAATGGTGCATTAGCACCGTCGAGATGATTTCCAAAGAGCGCTGGACTGAAACGAGCTGAGCGACGTGGCTGTTTTCAAACTTTCAAGCTATTGGAGGATCACGTTGTTTGTGGTTTTTTTTAATTTTTTTACAGAAGAAACAGGAACAGACTGTGTTTGTGACAGGCTGCTGGTAACAAACGGTTTAAAAATCCAGTATTTATTTATTTTTTTCTGAGTCGTCTGTTGCGTGTCAACGCTGCACTGGCTCATCTGTCGGGTTTAGGAGCTTTTTAACGACTGGACGAGCCGTAAGTCAAGAGTTATGAGACTTAACAAACAAAACACTCATCTGAAATTTAGTGAAACTGCAAAAATAAAAATCCTGACGCATGATCAATAATCCAGGTAGATAATAAGACAGTAGATGATGTGTTCTCACTTTTGAACTAAAGTTTATGAGAAGTTAAATTAGTCATTATTGGGGTTTTTGGAGCCTGAAAGACTGAAAACTACAAAGTAATTCACCATTGATTAGTGGTTACCATATCATTAAATATGCAAATCTTTGAGTCTTAATTGTATTTAAGTGAATTAGTTTTATAAAGTTTTACACTTCATTTAGTTCCTGTTATTTTAAATTTTGACCTCAAGACATTTTGTATGTTTGTATTAAAATATAGTCCTTTAAATTCAAGATTAAAGAAAATTTAAGAACAAAACACAACATGTCTTGATTCAGCAAGTGAGCATTAAAGCGTAATGGTATATAGTAAGTATTTAAAGTGGTCATATAAAAGAAGTAAACCCATTCTAATTAGTTTAAAACAATAAAAGTAGCAGCAGATAGCAGCGCTTGTGAAGTGCAGTAGAGGTGATAAATTCATTAAAATGCAAAACAAAGACTTTAATGAAAAGGGTTAATTTTCCTGTGGCGTCTGCTCCAAATCAACATTTTTCACGTAACCTGTTTTTAGTCGGAGATATTGCTGCTAAGTTACGACACAACGCTCTGCTGGAGAAAAAGGAAACTATAGATTCCTGTTCTATTATTACAATATGAAATATTAGAAGTTTTTTTTTTTTTTTTTTTTTTTTGGTCTGAAAACCATCTGTGCTGGTTTATTTGAAGTAAGACTCGCTCCAACCCCCGACTCCCAAGTGTCGACATGATATTGTTTCCATTAGCTGAGATCAGTCTGGTCGTCTTTCCACCACACTGAAAAAGTGCAAGAAAATTCCTCTGGATGTTCCGGATCTCTCCGGACTTCAGCAGTCGAGACACAACAAGATGAAGTCAGCGTCTTAAAAAGGCTGAATTCCTGAACAGAAATCGAGCTGCAGACATTTTGACGTCGTGTAAACCTGAAAGCTGCTTTGATTTGAGTCCAGGGGTGTGTGTGTGTGTGCGTGTATGTGTGTGTGTGGTCTCCCAGTTGTACGGCAGTAATTACAGTGACTGCAGCAGGAGCTGTTTACACACCAACAAGCACACACACAATTTAATCAACACCAATCACAGAGGAGAAGTTGGTGAGCACGGAGCGGTAAATGATAGACTTCTGTTTGTTGTGCGCGCACACACACACACACAGAGACACACACACACACACAGACACACAGCCACTTCCTCTGTAATTGGTGTGTTTATCCCTGCTGTACTGTAGTCTCGACATAATGCAGGCGTCTCTCGTGCCTCTTGATGAATGGTGTGTTCAGGGCAGGCAGCCTGAAACCTTCAAAGTTTCTTACACCGACAGGACAAGACCGTTTCTGTTCTGGATCCACTTCAAGGTGGAGGATACAAAGCAAGACCTAAACCCCTAGAAATTAAAACACACCTGATATGTATGTAAACCTTCAGTCGACATCTCAAAGTCTCTAAAGGTTCTTGAGGTAAAAGTGTGTTCACTGAAATCCAGACTGCCCTTCTTTGTTCTGTTATTGCTGCACTACACAATACAGTCGAGTACCGGTACATAACTTTTAAGAAACAAGTAACAAATCACTTCATAATACAGACCAGCCTGCATCAGTACTAGGTAAGTACCTGGTACTTGAGGTATACACCTGGCACATACCAGATAAATACATATTTGTGTGCTGTAACCACTGAGTAACAATATATTTCATAGTACAGCCCATTCTTTAGATACCTGGTATGTACACTAAAAGTACCAGGTACATGCCTGATGTGTACTCTTTGAGTACAGGGTAGCTGCTGGTTACCTACAGGGGTGGCACTGTACTATGTAGTAACTTGTTTCTTTAGGCATACAAAGTACTTACCGTATTTTTCGGACTATAAGGTGCACTTAAAATCCTTTAATTTTCTCAAAAATCGATTAACTCTGGCTGTGCTTCCTGACCTCGAACCGATTTTATGTGGTACATCTGAACAATACTGAGTTACACAAAGTTTGTTTTCTCAGTACTGAGTTACTGTGAATGAGTTGAACAAAGTTTGACTCGTCTGTTTTGTTTCACTTAACGTATGAAAACAGACCCATTCGTTGATATTGCGCCTTAAAATCCGGTGCACCTTACAGTCCCAAAAATACGGTACTAGCTGTGTACCTGATACTTTTAGGTTAGAAGGCACCAAATATGTATCAAGCTGTATTATTTTATTTATAGTTTGTTTTTGTATTAAAAAATGTTCAAGTCTGACATGAGTCTGTTTACGCTCTCCTTGGTCAGAATGTTATTTTGTAGGAACTCTGCTGCTTTTTGATTTTTCATCTTTACACACCCAGTTACCCAAAACGAGCCCTGCTGTATAAATGTGTGTGTAGCCATGATGTGGTTTTCATTCTTGACTCCATTCCAGCGACCACAGGTTCCTCTGGCCTTCCCCTTCATCCCTCCTTTGTCCTTTCCCTCCCTTTTCTCCTCCCGCCCTCTTTTTTTTTTTTTTTACTCCTCATGTTCCTCTGTTTTCCAGACGGACGTTCATTCAATCTTCACCCTTTAATGCGCACTCCGTAGAGGTGTCTTCCTCACTTAGTTTGTTTCCTGTCCCTTTTCAGCCAATGAGGAAAGAGCCGGAGGTTGTCACGGTAACCCTGAAGAAGCACAATGGCATGGGCCTCAGCATCGTGGCTGCCAAGGTAGGAAACGACACCTGGAAGTGTGTTTGTGTCTTTTCTTTTTGTGTGTGAACTTTGGCTGATTTGAAATGTTCCTGTCGGAAAGAAAAACATCGCTAAAGTTAAACTGTAATAAATAAAAATAATAATCCCTGCAGAATGCTTTTTGTCAGGCTGGTTGGGACAGCAGAGCGTGCTGGGTTTGTGTTTTTGTGTGTGAGGCTGACGGAACAGGCCGCTGGTTTTAAATGGACTGTTGAGTCAGACAGGAGGGCATAAACTAAACACTGACATTATACAGAAACTTCTGGATGGCTCCCGGACAAAAACCTGGTCTGTTCAGTTTGCTGTTGTAAGGGGAGTGGGCTGGTGGCGGGGGCCGACCTCGTCCTGCATCAGTGTCTGAGTTCCTACTGGCCGCTGAAAGGAAATAAATGAAACTGAACTAAGCTGGAACAAAAGGCTGTGCAGAGTCAAGTTAAGATCATTCTGCTGGCTCAGGTGTGGCAGTTTGATCGAAAGGTGCAGCTTTTATCAAGAATTGCAGCATGGTGAACGAAGCGTGACCTGGAAATGTCGAAAAGATTAGAATGATAAAGCAGCGCTTCTGCCACCTTCATGACAACGTTGTAAATCAAGGTGTCATGTGATCTGTTGGCGCTCCGAGTGTGTGTTGGGAACGACTCTCGGCTGCCGCCGCTCCTAATTAAGCTCTGGACTGACTGAGCTGTCGCCATTTTTGTGTTTAAGGTCGATTTTCTGTGGTGGCCATTTTGAATCCTGTTAAAATCTTCATTTGTCGTTACAGCCAGTGATTATTTTCTGAGTTCATCATTAACGTCCGCCTCCTGGTTCATGCGATAATACATAATAATAATATATAATAATGTATTTTTTTTTTTAAACTTGACTTTATTTCCATGTAGCACCTCGGGGTGACTTTGTTGTTAGTTTGATTTAAGAAAAGACTTGAGAATGATTTACTTTTTTTTTTTTTTAATGAGTTTGGTGCAACGTGTCATCAAATAAAATCTCAAACGCTGTGGATATAACAGAATAATTCACATATTTTTTTTAAAATTATATTCTGTTGTTAAAAAATAAAACAACATAAAGGAATTAGAGTTTCATTCGGTCCCAAAAGATCTGACCCGGCCCGCAGCCATAATTTCCAAATCCCACCCGACCCGACTAACAGTAATTACAGGTCCAAACCTAAACCCCTCCAAACATTTTTAATTAAGCGTTGACTGTTTATATAATTATTAACGGTCGGCGGACGCGCGCAGCTAAGAGGGCAGATGATCGGAGCTGAGGGGGTGTTTGTCCTTCCATGGCCGTCAAAGCTCATTAAATCTCTGCTTCTGCTGCATTCTGCATTATTCAGACACGGGCCATGCTCTGACATTTTGTGATTTCACCTGTTTGGGTCTTCGGCCGCGCGCGTCCGCTAAGATCAGCTGAATCTTTTTTTAAATTACACCACCACCATTTTAAAGGAAATAACAAAGATGTCTCATTTGCTCGAATGTCTTTCTTTACTTTAACGGAACTTATTTTTTTACCTCCTTTTCAAGGCCGGTCAGCGCGCGGTCAAATGGCCACGTGCGGCTGGTGAAGGTATGGCAAGCCATGTTGCCATATAATTGGCTCGTCAGCTGCACGCGTCTGCTGATGCAATAAAAAGCCCGATACCGGCCTGGCCCTCACATTAAACACATTATTATGGCCCGGCCCTAATCCGGGTCGGGCCGGGTTCTGGTTAGAAATGACAGCTCTAAAGGGAACCACATCTAAAATATTATTTGCTGTAAAAAAAAAAACAACACCATCATGGTAAATAAGTGATCTGTGCTGAAACTCGACTGGGCCCAGGCTGCAGCGCATGATGAGTGAAAATTAAGATTTTTTCCGTAATTGAGATCTGCATAAACTTTAAATCGCATTTAAACTGAGGTTTTCAAACAAATAACGACTGTTTTCTAACAACTACCGTAGTGCCAGGAAATCCTTTCGTATAATGTTTGGCATCATTGTGAAGCTTGGAGATTCCCTTTTTAAAAAAAATAAATATAAGGCTGGAAAGCCTGATGACATCATGTAAACCAACAACAGTTGGCACACTTGTAAACAACTATCTCGTCTCCGGGTCATCATCTTTCAACGAACTGAATCATCTTGACTCTTTTGAGATGGGCAGTTAAAAAAATACAAAACAAAGTAATACAACGTTGAAAAGTTCCTTGTTGTGATTTTCCCCTGGTGCTGTTCCTGATCATGTGGAGGTCTGGAATGTAAAATAAATGTGGATGGAGAAGAAGTGTCAGCTCTCGGCACGGGACATTAAGGCTCTTTGTCTTTTAGAGAAGTGTTTCCTGCTGAAAAAGGCTGGAGCGTTCCTGTGCACGTGTGCGTGCGTGCGTGCGTGTGTGTGTGTGCGTGAGGAGGAAGGAGGCTCTGAGGAAACAGTTTATTTTCAAATCAAAGTGGATGTTTTGAGGAGGAGGCAGAGGACTGGGTGTGTGGGAAGGCAACGGCAGGTAGAGCCCACAGCTGCATGAACTGTCCGTAAAATGGGCCGAGCTCCGTCCAGTTATATAACCGTGTGTGTGTGTGTGTGTGGTATTTGCCTTGTGGAGCGGCAGCAGCGCTCCACCTCAGTCTGACCAGCCTCCGTCCCAGCAGATGCTTCAGCTCTTGGATCGCTGCCTGAATTCCCCGCTCTCTGACAAACGGTCGACGACGAGGAGCTCGGCCGCGCTTGGAAACGTTTCTGGAACTTCTCGACCGCTTTTATGAAACCCAGCACAACTTTTATTATAATTTAAGCTGCTCGTGTTTGTAGGAGTTCACAACACTGTGGAGATGTTCCACCGTGAGGTTTCAAAACGACCTGCAGCAAGTTTCCACCACTTTTTTTGGCTTCGTGTTTCAGAATCCGCGGTGCCTCGTTTGTGTCCATAAAAAGAGCTGTGAAGCGCTCAGCCGAATGAACTGGCTCCAGTCGCTGTAACTGGGAGGCTTCGGACTTGTCGGTTCATGTCAGCAGGTTGAGGTGCTCTCCGGGATTAAAGCAGGTGCGCACAGTTTGTGTCCTGCGCCAGTCGGGACGTGGCGGACTGAACTGATCTGGAAACGGCGAACGAGAAGCTGCAGCATGTGGTTTTCAGTGGTGGGCAGGAGAGACGAGGTAAACTTGTTTAGAAACTTTAGTTTTTTATGAGATTCCGGTCATCTGAGCTGACTTTATGTAAATGCACGTTCATCTAATTGTTGCTTCGCCTCACCAAGTGTGGTGCCCCCCCCCCCCTGGCCCGGACCCGTTTTACTGTTTGCTTTCAGGGCCGTTCTGCTAATAGTTAAACTAAAATACACATTTGAGGACGGTGAAATCAGTGTAGCCATGTTTTCTTCTTTGAAACGAAAAAATCTACAAAGCGTCACTTTAAAACCGTATATAGTCGATAAATATGAACTTTATTGTCTTTTTAAGCCACTGCTGCTGACTATTTTAGACTCGGACATGCCCATTCTAATTCCTGTCCAAACCTTACGTTTGACCATTTTTTCTTATTTTGCATCCATACCTGAACATTATTATTATTATTTACTTATTTGTCTCGTAGGTCTGTTTTGCCTTAAGGTCCATTTTTACTTGTGTGTATCATGATTCTTCTGGAGCTGAGGAAGCTCACAGCCTCCTCCTCCTCCTCCTGCGTTCTTGTTGTGGCGTTTACTCGTTTATCTGTTGCCATAAAAAGCAGAACGTTCCCTCGGTGCATGTTTGAAATAACGAAGCTTTCGCCGCGTTGCAAAATGATTCCCAGAGCTGTGGTGATGTGTTCATGCTGAACTCCGCTTGGTGACTGTTCACTCTGCTCCGATAAACAACTTCATCTGAATTATGCACATACAAGCGAGTTTTCTAGACGATCGCATTCATTTTGTAAACATTTGCAGCAACAGAGCCAAAGAAATGCATCTATAATGTCCCCAAGCTTTTGGACAGAGGTATTTGCACCCAAAAGATAAAGATTGTACGTTTCTTTTTAATTCACATTGTTTTTCATGTCGGAGCATAAAGTGCACCGTGTTATTAGACGTTATCTTTGTTCTAGATGACTTCAGGTTGAAGATGGATTGCAGCTATATTTAAAAGGATGAATTATATTTTAGATGTTAGATTTTTAAATCGTTGTATTCACACGTCCTGATGGTTATAACAAATAAGTCCTTGTCGACCTGCAGGCGTGCCTCTAGAACAATCCTGGTCCTCGAGGGCCACCGTCCTGCAGCTCCAACACCTGATTCAGTGACTGAACGACCTCTTGAAGTTCTGCAGAAGTCTGTTGGTCAACCATGGACTCAAATCAAGTGTTGGAGCAGCGAAACATGTAAAACATGCAGTTAGTGCCCTCAAAGACATTACAGGACAACCCTGCTCCAGACACTAACCTCTTGCATCGTTTTGAGTTTAACTTTAATTTAAACACATTAAAGAAGTTTTAAAAGTTCTTCTCTCGGTACAAACTTTCACACTGAAGACGTAAGCACCTGCCTTATTGTTGCATTTAGTCAGATTGTCATTTTTAAAGCATTCTTAGCTGTTAAAATTCAATAATTATTATTTTCAAGGTAAAAAAATCTTTAGATTTTAGTCATCAGCTGATTGGTTTATGCGTCTCAAGTCAGGTTTTGCTAAAACAAATAAACCAAATAGCATTTTTAAGGGTAAACTTGATCATTTCAGGTGTTGGATTCACTTTTGTGCAATCATCACAGGAGAAGTGTGCGACTGTTTGTGCTTGGGATGCAAATAAAACCGACTGAGACGATGCTTATTAGTCAAATTTAGAAAAAGTATCTTGGTTTGAAATAAATTTGCCTAAATATCAGCGCTTGATTTTTGTGTACGCTGTTTTTGAAGTATTGGTTGTGTGCCCGTTAGCAGGTATTATTTGTTCTGAAGGTGGAACAATAGCCTGAGAGCGTCCCCCCCCCATGAAGGCAGGGACAATGAG